TCCGGTAGAAAACAGTCGCTTGAGTAGAAGAAGGGAGGCCGTGAGAGCATGCGGCCGTCGTCCAAAATTTCGAGACGAGAACCTGCGCGCGCGACTCATGAGCCAGGAGGAACCGCTCTCGCATCAAGAGAGTTCTCACACAACGAACGCAAACGCACTTAACCTACGGAGGATGGTTTAATCATAATATCACTCCATAAAGAAACATGAACGTCACTACGCCTGCGCGGATGCAACCTTGCCTTACCGAGCCTCAGATTAACCTACGATGCTCGTTCTCGTCGATAAACGTGTTTCCCAACGTCGCATGCCGCTGTCGTTGATTCCCGCGCGCACCCTTTTTAAGCTATCGCAGCCGCGTTTCGAGCTAGCCTCAGTCGAGGCAAGTTTCACGCACAAATGTCGGCGGTCGGACCTTTTCCCCGGGGTTTCCTGAGAACCGCAAAAGAGCTCACGGTGCGATTTTCCGTGGTAAATTTGTAGAGACTACACAGCCCTCGAAGTGAAATTAAGCTGGCCTTTTGGCTCAGGTGGATGTGGGGGAGGAAGAGGAAGAACCGACAGCTCTGGAGCCTTTTGAGTTTGCATGCCTTTTGCCTGTCGTCTTGCCGGTCTGACTTTGTTCATAAATCGATAGACTTAACGCTTGTGCTAGAGCCGCAGAGAAAACATGACGCGGAACGGGAGGTTTGATAGCGGCTAAGACGGCTTTGAAGATGTGGAACATTCGTCATCATCGTTGGTATTCTTAAATCAAATAGTCACTTGATTTGCCTGCACTTGCGGGAATATTGTTGCTAAGCCTCGCCGGTGAGCCAAACTCGTGTAAACCATCTGCTGGTCGTGTGGCCAGTCACGATATGTCGGGCAATTGATCAAGACTGGCACGGGATTGAACGGCAGAAGCAAATTGCAGGCGGATGAACCGGAGTGTCCCTGGGAGTTTTGAAGTGGTGGGGATTTTCCATGATGGGCGCAGGCCCGCGTATGATAGTATCCGCGATCCCTCGTGTAGCTTCGAGGCCACCCTTCCTTCGCCAGCTTCCATCGAATGTTCGCTGGGCGTGGCCAAGCTTCATTCCCGTCTCAGGGCGGGCGCGTTGGACGACGGGGAGGGGTTCATGCGGTTTGGATGTACCTTGCCATGTCACATGTCGCCTGGGAGCCGCACCTCGTGGCTGGGTCTCCTCTGCCCAGGGCATTCGGTTCGGGATCGAGGGTGATTGGACCGGTGGCAGAGACCCAATGACACCCGAATCAGGGGTTTGCTTGAAAATCCGAAGACAGTTGGCCAGCGCCGTTTTTTGAGCACACGAAAAAAGAAAGCACTGACGGCAGAATGATCGCGGCGGCGATGTCGAGTCCTCCGAGGCGAGCTCGGCGGAGGCCTTCCAGACGGCTTGTCAGATTTGGGGATCTGGATTTGGAGGAATGGATCCCGCTCGGTGGCCTGGGAGGGCTAGAAGAGTCGAGACTCTGGTGAGAGAGGCCGTGGACGACGGAAGCAGCAAGAGCAGGGCGAGCCAGATGAGGTGCAATTTTAGGTGCAATAAAACGGTGCATGGGGCGTTGGCGGTTGACGAGGGTTGCGCATCGGTTGTCTGGACAGAGCCGGCCGTGGGTATCTTACTAACGACCGTGGCTGACGGACGGCACGGTTGTATGGGAGACTTCTTCTGGGAAGGTTATGTACAACCAGAGATTGTCGATGAGATTTTGGTGTATTTCTCCGTCTCCCTTGTCATGGGTTCTCGCCGCCTCTGGGCCAGTGTCATATCTGTCTGCAGCGCTCTCCTCGGCGACGGCTATCTAGTCCAGAGTCAGTGGAATCAGCAGAGCCAAGAGTACGGGGCTGTCAGGGCCGTCCGCTCGCATAAGGCGGGCAAGGCAAGACGGACGACAAGCAGTAATGACAGTGACAGGCTGTCAAGACTGGAACTTGAAGGCTGCAGACGCAAAGCAAAGCAAAGGCAGTGCCAACGTCTCGGTGCGACCTGAACTGGATTGCCAGAGTTCCGGCCCCTTGCGCAGGGACGCTTTGAGAATCGCATCTCCACCATGCTTAAAAGGCATCCTTGTTCGATGCAACTGAACAGCAGGTTAAGGTCAGGCACGTCCGGATATGCCCATGGCCAGTGCCCCCTTATCCTTGCCCTTGTCTTCCGAATCTCCATCTCCCACAGACACCGCCACCGTCGAGTGACAGGCTGGGCCCCGGACCCGGGCAGCGTGTGAAGGCCGCGGTGGACGGGTTGGCAAAAATCCACAATCGAATTTTGTTGCTAGCGCGCGCCAGCAAGATGGACCAATGGGTTGTGGAAAGGCCGCGCCATCACGGCCAAGGGTGGTTATTGCATCAGGGGTGGGAGTCTGGCAATGGCCGGCGCGACATGGCCTGGGGATCGGGAGGGTGGATAGGAAGATTTGAAAGAGAGGAAGGGGAATAGTGCAGTGGTCGGGGGACCCCTTGGAGGTGCGGATGGGAAAGGGGAGATGGATGGATGGATGCTATGCACGGCGGCATGAATCTGTGATGCACTGATGCGTGTACCGACCTCAGCCCAGCAGGTGTGGTGCGTGTGTGTGTGGGAGGACATATGGATGGATGAACGATGGGAACTGCCTTGGGTGCCGGTGAAGAAAAGACATGACGAACGAGCGGGTAAAGGAGGAGGTGGTCGGTGTGAGACACGGATGAGGTGACTTGGGCTGCTTCTCAGCTGAGAGACAGCAGCGAATGAATCAACGAAGGAACTTGACTGGCCAGCGTCAAGACTCAGAACGCAGGTACCGTGTATCCGTAGTTCTATAAGTTCAGAGGCAGGAACGAACTCTGGCGCTAATTCCTTGCCGCTGTGCATCGTTCCTGACTGGATGCATGGCACCTTCCATCCATCGTAGTACACTGTAGTAGTAGACGAACCCGCGAATCATTCGCGATTTCCGAATGCCCGCGCAGAGTTGCAGAGAACCCCACTCCCAATCCAATACCGCCAACTTTGGAAAGCAGGCAGTGGCGGGAGATGAGAATCCGGAATGGCATCCTTCCCGCGCAAATTCCTTCTTTTCAGCGTGCCAGGGGCCACGGTCATGTCTCTCCACGTCGCGTCGTGTGTCTTGTCTTGTCTCTGGGAATACCAAGTATGTCCAAGTCCAAAGTCGCGATAGGCTTCTCTGTCCCGGTCCCCACTCGCCTTAGCTTGTTTTGCCCGATCTCTGCCTTTGCGAGAGCCGGGCGCCATGTAACGGCAGATGCCATTCTCGCCTTGTTCACACGTCGAGGCCACCCTCAGACTTTGGGCTGATGGTGAAGCTCAAGCCTGCTTCAACTTCGTCGGTAGAAGCCCAAGGGATGACAACAAGAAACAGCCTCGTCTCGCACTGTCTGACTCCGGATCTCGAAATGCATAGGTCCGATCCGAGTCTTCGTCGTCGTCAACCCGTGAAGGTCAGCATGTCGGGCAGCGCGTCGTCGTAGCATCAAAAAGTGGAAGAGCGTGGCAGTGACAGAGGCAATCGCTATGATCGAGGCCCTTAATAACATGGGCATTTGGTCAGGTCCCTCCCCAAATCATCCCCGGAGCGCTCCCAAAGCAGACGATCAGCGTGGAATCGGTGTGGGGCGTCACTGCCAATGGTAATTTGCAAGTACCGTTCGCAACATTCTCCAGCAGTCGTCGCTTGTCCAGGTCGTCTAACGGTACAAGCCACTACAACGGCCAGTGTCTCCAGTGTCATTTCCCCTCCTCCACCCCCTTCCACACTTGCACCGCACCTTCCCCTTCCCCCCCTTCCACTATCGTGCCCCCCTTCCTCCCTTCCCCTTGTCTTGCCCTCGCACCCCCGGCCATCCATCGCTCCAGCACCAGTGATCCGCTACGCCGCGCAGCCGTCCACTGGCAGTCCAGAGCAGTCCACCACCATCACTTCATTCATCGTCACCTCCTCCGTCACTGTCCAGGTCCAGAGCCAGTGCGCAGCGTGCCTGACTTACAGCGCACAAACCACACCACCAAGCGACGGGAGGCCCTCTTGCGCAGCACTCTTAGCGGCCCAGATCTCCCACAACCCACTGGACTCGCTCATCCTAACGAGTCCTAACCCCCCTTTTTGGACCCCCAGCCGCCGCCATCTCGCTGCCGCCATTGGTCGTAGTATCCCGGCCAGCCACCTTGACGTTTCATGCCTCACAACCTCGTCGCGGATTCTGCTGTTGTCTTCCTACTGCCTACATACGTTGCTGCTCCGTCGTCTCTTCTTTGCAGCTTGGCTTTTTGGGGCTTTTGCAAGGTTGCTTTGGACTCTGTTTTTTTTCTTTCTACGGCCCGTACTACGTCGTCGTCTGCTTGCTTCCAACAACCTACTGGATACCAGCACGTCAATTGCATACTGTGTGCAGCACTAGCCTCTTCTTCTACTGCAGCATCTCGTCCCACGCTTCTTCTTCTGCGGCATTTGCTTTTTCTCTGCATCCTCCCCAAAATATTCCCTTTCGACACCGACACGCCTTTTTCCCGCCCTGTCATGCCGTGTCGCAACCGCTGGTGTCTCTGAAAGAACCCTTTCCGTCTTCCGTTCTCGATTCCGCCGACGCCTCTTATCCACCCCTTCTATCTGTACGACGAAGAAGCAGAGACATCGACATAATCGACACATTCCACCGCCACATCGACGACTTAGACACAACCCTGATCCGACGCGGCAAGAAAAAAAAAGGAAAAAGGTTCTGCGACATACGTACTATTTAGGTTGGCAGCTGGCTTTTGGGTTTGGCAACTGGTTTTGGGTACGAGCCTGTGCCTGATTGGATTTGGATTCCGTCGGGTAATAGTGCTGCAAGAGGAAGAAGAAAGGTCTCTGTGCGACCCCCGATCGACTTCAAAGAGCCCCCCGACCTTCTACCTCGACACTCCCTTTGTTCCCTACGCCGCCATTTTTCGACTGCTGCCTCTCGCTCCCCACGCGAACCGAGTCTTATACAAAACACAGCGAGGTCTACCATGAATGGCCGCAATGCGCCTCTCTCACCTGTCTCTCTAGGTGGCGGAAGTGAATGGTCTGTTGGCAAATACCAATCCATCAACGAAGATCCGTACGCAAACAACCGTAGCAACATCGTCTCTCCCCCGAATTCCGGAGGCTCAAACGGCGCCATGAATGGCGGTTTCCCTCCCGGCCCGCGAAGCGCTGGCGGGCCCTCACCGCCGCCCTCTGTCGGCCGCTCCAGCAGCGGCACAAACATGTACGCCAGAAGTGAGAGCGGAAGGAGTATCCGCGAAGAGCAAGCCGAGGGCATCCTTGGCGAACACTATGTTGCCCTGAAGAACTTTTTGAATGGCGGCCAAGGAGGCCGTCCTACGCCCCCTAACAAGGCACGCGACAAGCTGCTGCGACTGTCTTCTGTCCAGTTTCTCGAACTCAGTACTGATGTTTTCGATGAGCTGATGCGAAGACAATCTCTCGGCCGAAGGCCCTCGGGCCCTGGGTCCCAACCCCCTCCCCCTTACCTGATGCCCGAATCCAACTTCCACCCGAAACGTAACCAGGCGAGACAAAAGCTGTCTTCCCTCGGCCCTCCCCGATTTCGCGATCTCGCGACCGACGTCTACTGCGAACTAGAGAGGAGGTTTCCCCGCTTTGCTGCTGGAGATATGCCCAGAGTGGGTAGCCCCGTATCGGTCCGTTCGCAAGCGACCGTGAATGGTGGTTACCCGCCGAGGAGCCAAAGTAGGAGTCAGAGTCGGACGAGACGGCCCTCCGATGCCAGCTCAATGCGAGGAGGACCGCCCCGGGGCGATCCTTATGGTGTGCCTCCGTCGCCGGGCTTGCCTCCGGGAGGCGAGTATAACCGGCCAATGCAGAAGCAATTCCAGAGCAACACGATTGTGCCGAACAAGAGTACAATGGTGGAAGAAGATGACGATGCGAGCCCAAATGAGGACGGCGACGAGGCTTTTGGTCTGGAGCGCACGGCAACAAACCGCACGAGTAAGAGGAGCCAGGCCACGGAGCAAAGTGCGGTAGCATCAGAGGTGATCTTTACCCAACTTAACCTCGTATCGAGTGGAGACATTAACAGCCCTACAGGCCGACAAGAAGCTTTTAGACGAATATCAATCTCAGGTCCGAGAGCTACGGGAAAAGCTCGACGCAATGGAAGACGTCATGAAGAAGAAGGACGATGAAATGAACAGCATCCTTGACGGCGAAAGATCACGATCGACGGCTGTCAATATGGAAAAGAAGGAGTTTGCCGATCTCCGACTCAGCCTTGAGAATAAGCTCGCTGAGGCTCAGGACGTGAACGACAACTTAAGACAAGAGTTGGACCGCATGAGAGACGAGCATGCCAACGAATCCAGGCAGCTCAGAGAGCAGGTCGACGACCTGCGGCAATCCAACATGACCGCCGCTGCGAACGTCAGCTCCGGAAACGCCGACCGGGAACTGCAGCGGGAAAACGAGCAGCTGCGCAGATCCTTGCAAGAGCAACAACAGGTTACGGAGGAGGCTCGTCGCGAGGCTCGTGAGTTTTTGCGCGAGATGAAGATGCTATCGCAACAAAGTGGATCTTCCTGGCAAAAGCAAGAAGAGTTGGAGAAGACTATCGACCAGCTCGAAGGCGAAGTTCGCGAGTGGCGGAACCGATACGCTCGCACCAAGACGCAACTTCGCGACATGCGCGCTGCTTCACTCGGGTTGAATGTTGAGCAGGATGCGGCCAAATACGTGCGCGAGAAGGGATTCCTGCAGCAGAACGGAGCAGTCAAGGACGTTCACGTTACCAAGTTCCAGATTGCCATTGACGAGCTTCTGCAGAGAGCTCGGTCAGACGACCCCGACAAGGTCGTTGACTCTATGAAGCAGGTCGTTGTCAGCGTTCGCCGGATTACTAAGGACATCGACGAAGCAGCGCAAACCAACGAGGAGCTGATGCAGCAGCGATCGAAGCTCAAGGGCAAGATTTCCTCCTCTGCCAACAATCTTATTACCTCGTCCAAGAACTTTGCTGCTTCGGGTGGCATTTCGCCCGTATCATTGCTCGACGCCGCCGCTTCTCACCTAGTTGCCGCCATCGTCGACCTCCTTCGAGCTGTCAAGATTCGCAATACTCCCGATGGCGAGCTCGAGGACGACGATGATGGCACTATTACGCCTGTGGACTCCACTGGATTCTTCTCCCCGAGGACTGCCTCCAGACAAGAATCAATGATCCAGGATTCAGTTCCTGCGCCATTGCCATTGGGACAGGCACCCCCGCCCTTCCAGGGTCTTGGTGGCAGAGCCAGCATGGACTCCTCGGCCTACAGCCCCATCAATTCCCCTCGTCAATCCGCCGACACCTACAACCGAGGACCTAACGGCATGAATGGGATGAATGGCATGGGCTACAAGAACGGCCCCACCAATGGGTACGGCATGCGCCAAGATAACCAGGCAGAGGAGCTCAAGGTCTACCTCGACGATCAGACCGCTATCCTGGTTCAGAACATCCAGAATCTCGTCGGCTCCATCCGAAGCGATGCCTCTATCAACCAAATTACGTCCGAGATCAACGGCATCACCGAAGTGGTCGGAAAGGTTATTTCTGAGACGGAGGCTTCTGGCAACGGCGCCATGATCGCTCGCCTGGCCGCCTGCCGCGAGAGACTTCTTGAGGCCAGCGAACGGGGCCTGGACATCGACCGTGGTCAGGACGTTGGTGCTACAGGACGCAACGATCGCGAGTGGCGCATGTGGACGCAGACCCTGCCTCCCATCGCCTTCGAGATCGCCAGGGAGACCAAGGAGTTGGTCCAGCGAGTTGACCAACTGGTTATGAATGGAGGCGACGACTTCTCCTAAGTTGTCGGCCTATATCTGGAAAGCCAACGCTTCGACTTTTAATGATGGTAGGCAACTATGTTGACCTTCCGACAACCTATCACGATACGCATAATCTTCAAACGAAACCCCCCTTCCGCTTTTTTTCGCGAGAGAAAGCTTTGATACCCCTGCTGTCCTCAGGGCGGCTTTGCTTGCATTTTGGGTTTGCAGTTTTGGGATGTTGAGGAAACAAAAGGGGTCGCTTTTTCGCTTCTTCCGTATCCTTTTTTCTTTATATATATTTGACATCCTCTCGGCGCATGAGAGGAGGTTTTGGCTCTGAAGCTTGGGTTATAGACGGCTCCTTGTGGTTTGGTTACTACTGCCTTGAGGCGTTTAATCTGCTCAGGGGGTTAAGTTCAGTGTACGCTTTGCATGAGAGAAGGACCTGAAGACGACGCTTTTTTTGTGTCAAGTCATGCGAATGAACGAAGACAGACGGAACAGTCCTGGGCTTTCCTGCTCCCCTGGCCATGTATTTTCAGGGCGAGCGGGGTGAGACGGGACGGGATCACTTGTTGGCGGTGTTGAGCTGGGTAAAGACAGTGCTTGGGGGGTATAGTTAATGTAAAGATTGCCCACGAGGCATGGATTGAATGCACCACTGTGTCCGCTCCGTGATACTGTGAGGAAACCAACGCGGCCATGAGTGATGCGCCTTGCGCAATATGGTTACTTTGACATTCAAGCGGCGGGCTTCGTTGGCCTCCTATCACAAGCAGAAAACCTCCCAACATCATGGCATCGGAAGACCGCGCCGGCTCCCACGCGTGTGACCGCGGGAACCGTTATTTGACGGCGCGCTCCTCCCGCATGATCAGATGAAAAGGAGAGTTCAAGCGTTCCCGTAGCAGTCGCCCTAATTGGTGCGGAGGTCTACCTATTGGGCCAAAATGAGGGGTGGGATTTCTTCTGTCTTTCGAAGAAAGCTTAAACGTCAAAGAATCCATGTGGGAGGAGGTTGGGGGGAGAGGCGAGAGGGGGAGGCGCAAAGGCGGTAGTGATGGGCTCGTTTGGTCTGCTTGTCTTGCTCATCTCCTCACATGTCTGGACCTAGAATGCCGCGAGGCGGGCAGCTGATACGCCGTCGGCCGCCCGCCGTATAGTATCGACCATTGAAGGCGGTAGGTTACGGAATGCTGCACCTTGATTAAACCGTGTGCCTGTCTGACGCCTTTCTGATCTTCCAAGACAATGTCTTTCGTTCTTCTATTAGGGGGTCCTCGGGAAGCGGTGCGTTCAGGGGATTTGTCGTTCTTGAGGTCGGATGTCGGTAGGTAAGCGCCGATCCGGCAGGAGGGAAAGCCGGCTGTGAGCTGGGACGGGGCTCATCCCTTGGAAGTGGGGTCCGACAAAGTCCCCATCTCACAGTGTTCTGCGTTCTCCAACTCCTCTCCATGTTGGTCGTCCTGCAGGAAGGTGTTGGACCTTTGAATCTGCGATCCTCCTCGAACCAAAGGTCCTGTTCAAAGGGCAGGGATGTTTTGGTAACGTAGTTGGACCCATCAGAATGGGAGCTGAACAAGCCAAAACAAGTAGCTCGTTCTCAAGGACCAACGAACCAACCCCCGTCATATACTATTCGATTATCGCTTTGTTTCCATGTGCTTGCAGCTTACGGGCGTCGTCAGTCCTCCTACTTACCCCTCACTGCCAATTAGACGACGACCCCCCTTTGTGGCCGGCGGCTGGCATCTTATGCCAGAGAAAGCAACGCGCGTTGGTAGGGCTGACGCCTGTCAACAATCATCCTCCCCCTCCTTCCCGCCAAGATCAGACCAGTCGAACCAGACGTTGAACACTCAAAGTCGGGCACCTCGTAGCGGACGTCGAATCTGAAAGCCAACGCAGCGGTCAGCTTATGCTTCGATGCCTGTTTTGGGGTAGGGGTCTTTTGCCAATGTCCAGAAACCTTCCCGGCCCGCATGCTGACGACCAACCGCCGTCCCCCGGTCCTGGGTTCGGTCAGCCCGTTTACGCATATCTTCCTTTGCTGGAACCAATTGACGGCGTCGTGGCTTACGGCGGATGGTGAGACCATTGAAACGGGCTGCTCTTCTTACGGGCGAAGGATTCCTGTTTGGAGACCCGGACCCAGCCATCTGGGGCCGTTTCGGTAGGTCTGCTTGCTTTTTTTTCCGTCTTGTCTCGAGCTTGGGGCGGATGCAAGTGAGACGAAGGAGATGAGAGACATGAGGTATGGTGCAGGCAGATATATTCGAGGCAGTTCCCTCGTTCCCCGTTTCCGGGTTGGGGAACCACACGATCTGACGTCTCTTTTGTGTCTTCGTGACGGTGTGACCTGTGTCCCTGTCACCCATTGGTTTTCTTTTAACACACTTCGAAGTTGTGTCACTGTTCACATTGCTTTATTTTGCGGCATATCCGCTCGAATTGGTGTTGCTGAGATTTCTAGGTCCTTTGACGACGTGCTCGAGAGATTTGAAGGTGTATGGCTTGCTGGGGACCGTCGCCCACTGCTTCATATTATCAGCAGCTCGAGAAGAACGAATTGAAGGACAAGATGTCGAACACAGTGACGGAAGTACTTGCAATGCCAGCTGAGGAGCCGAACGGCGCCGCCGCGCCGGCAGCAGCAGCTGGAGACTCCCCATTGCTGAACCTCCCCTACGAGATCCGCCTCCAGATATACGGCTGGGTCCACGCGATGCATCCCATCCAGCACGCGCAGCTGGCCCCGTGGTACCCGACTCCAACATACAGTTCGTACTTCCTAAAGCTTGTCAGGCCGGACGCAGCTGAGGATCCTGGAGTAAAGCGACCTACCGCCGCCGCCGATGGCGCGAACGACGACGATGACGACCCCCGAAAGAAGGAAGCCCGAAAGGCCGCCACCGCCGACGAAGAGGACAAGGCGATGCTGTCCCCCCACCGACCGCTTTGCGGCCTACCGTCCGCGCTCCTCCGCACCTGCCGCCAGATCTACGAGGAAACGCGCACGCTTCCGTTCCGCAGCAACGAATTTGTGTTCGTCAACTGGTTCTCCTCGGGTCTCTGGGCAGCGCGGGCCTTCACGCGGGGCCTGCAGGGGTGGCAGCGGGACGAGATGCGGTACACGCGGCTCGAGATGCTGGGGCGGGACTTCACGGGCCCGGCGCTCAAGGAGTGGGTGGAGTTGTGCGGGTGCTGGGCGGGCGGGCTCCGGGGCCTGCGGCTCAAGATTCTGATCGGAGGTGGGATATTTGAGCCCACCGCTTCGTTTGCCTCGCTGAACAACAATGCAGAGGCGCAAGCCATGGACATTTCTAAGTTTCCGGAGCCACGGCCCGAGTGGATCGAGGAGGGCCTGAGGAGGATGGGAAAGCTGAGGGAGTTGGAGGTCGAGCTCTGCGTGCTTGACTGGGACGACGGGCAGAAGATTGCGTGGTGCGAGTCTTTGGAGACGATTCTGAACGAGAGACGGGAGGGCGGCGAGGTGCGTGTGAGGTGTGTCGAGAGGCTGATGGAGGATCGTGGGCCGAAGAGGGAGATTGTCGGCGAGGGGGAGAAGCAGGATGGGTATGGGTATTGATGTCTGGATAACTCAGGTCAGAGACGGTCCATGATAGGGGTGGCGGTGGGCGAACTTGAAGGCATTCAGGAGTTGGGAGTCATTGGGAGTCGAGAAAGGATACCAGAAGGGAGTTTGTTTTATCAAAGGCTTGTTTTCTCCTCTCACTCATCTCATGTTCGCTTATGTGAGCCTGGTGAATCAAAAGCAGCAGTCACTGTTCGCGCAGCAGGAAGGAGGCAGACTCACCTGCCCGGTCTTGCCATCTCAAGTCGACCACCCTCCCACACTTTCTACGCGTCGACCTGGTTTGTTTTTCTCTCTCTGCCCTCGATCTTTTTTCACAACTACCTCATCTTCTCCCACACACAACACCGAAACTTCCTCACCTCAACCTGAGCAGCCCTAATCCTGCTCAACCTTCCAACCCTTTCTCCTCAGAATACTTTGCGCGAGGTATTCTTACTCCTCCCTACTTCTCTCCCCCCGCCTACTCACAAGCCTTCCCCTAGCATCACGCGTCTCTACTCTTCTCAATTCATCTCAATTGAGAATTTTTCTCAGAGATTCCCTTCCCAAGACAAAAATAAGGAGACACTCAGGTCTCTTCGTTAACCGGTATGGCACGCCTCACAACCTGTTCGTGAAAAATCACTGACCTGAACAGATTCCTTCGCACAAGGAACTTTTGACAAGGAATCCTCTCTCCGGTCACACCAAGAACAAGGAAAATTTACCTTGCTCACAGAAAGTACGATCTCCTTCCCACTTCACAATGATCACTTTTACTGATAAGTTCCAGGTCAAGATGGTTGGTCACGTTACGAGAGGTCTCACCTTCACTCAGCGCTGCTTCGAGTGCCTCGAGATGGACTACACCTACGCCTGGCCCCTTCCGGTCCGGCTTTTCGCTGTCTTTTTCATTACGGCCCTCTTCGCCAACATGCACCCCGATGTCAATGCCTTCACCAAGCGTGTTGTCTGGATGGCCGTCCACCCCTTTGCTCTTCTCATTGGCTACATCACCGCTGCCATTGTCCGAGGTCTCCTCTTCATCTTCATTGACGGCCCTGAGATGCTTGCCAACCTTATCACTCGTCACCGTAACCGTGACCTCGACGTCCTCGACAACCTTGACGTTGAGAACAACACCAAGCTCAATGCCATCATGGGCCGCCTCCACGCCACTGCCCCTGAGGAGTGGACCCCTGGTGGCCGCGTCTTTGACAAGAAGTACAAGCCCTTCTTGCCCGCTGAGAAGATGAACTTTGCTGGTCCCCGCCAGAAGAAGGCCATGACCCGCAAGCGCAACCTCTCTGTCTGAGCTTGCCCTTGCCTACTCTCATCAAACGACAAGCATTGGAGTTGGCGGGTGGCACTGAGTACTTGGAGGAACTGGATCTGTACAGGAACCGGATCTTCTAGGGGAAGGCAGCCTCTACGACAGCTCTTCGGATTTTTCGGACGCGCGGAGTGATTGAGGGCGATACGAAGCTCATGAGATTACGAGACCATGACTGACGATTTCTTTTTCTCTTGTCTTTGGAGGAATGAATCTTTTGGGGGATGGACTTTGGTTCCTGCCCGAGGAGTATGCATAGGCGTGGCATCCCATGCACTCTTGGTTGTGCACATTAGGACTTGGGTTCGGCAACGGTTTGGAGTTTGGCCTACGGAAAGCGGGCCGGACGGACACGCATAGAAGCATTCAGGTGAAAAATGGACAGACAGGTCCCTAATAATCGGTAGACAGATGGAAATGAGACGCTCTTGCTATGTAATGCTTTCATTTCGCTTGTTTTTGTGATGTTGTTCACCTCGACGAGGCTTTTCGCAAAGCTGAAGGTGAAGGCAAGCGAGATCGGACATGCATGTGGCTGCCATCGCCATCCCAGACGTGCCGATATCAACCTCGACGTATTTAACAAGACCAACGTGACTTTTCACACAGTCGACAAACAGCACTATGTGTTTGTGTTCTCCAAAATTGAAGCATGCTTCCACAGTGATTTATCCTGGTTTCCTTTCGCTGTTGGGGCTTGTCAAAATAGCGAGGGAGTGCGTAGGGAAGGAAGGAGCTGGTTGCCATCTCCGTCCCATCCTAGTTCACCCACATACCTTACGAAAAATGGCGAGACAGAAGAGGTCGCAAAGCTTGACCATTGTCACACGAGGGCACCCAAACATTTTAGAGTGCGAGGGAACAAGTTGTAGCCCATGCTATCCCTTTCAAGTCTAAATACAGAGGCAGTAGTAAGACCCACCCCCAAGTAACGAAATCCCCCCATAACGAAATGACGAAATTAGATGCATTCTAACCCCTAACCTAATAATTATATTTTGACGTATTACTAAATATCTCTATAGTTTTGTAACTATAATATATAATTTTATACTGTTATTATTATCTAATAATTTGCTACTAATTAATACTACTTCTAACTTAATTAGATGATTTTATACCTCCTATTTTTTAATATGAATCTCCTTAACTATTATAAACTATTTATTTAGGTTTAGTTTAACTTTAGCGTGTAGTTTTAGCTTATATTTTTCAACTTAAGCCTTAAGGGATTTAATAACTATTTAGTTATTTACTATAGCTATATTATTAAGGTTTAAATATATACTAATCTTACTAATAAAAAGTATATAGATTATAGGGTTAATATCTTTAAACCTTAACCTTATCTTACTACTTAAGAGCTATTTAAACTACTATAAATTAATAAAAGACTTTAGTATTTTAATAATATTACTATTAGGTATATATATATCATTTATATACTTCTTATACTATACTAAAGCTTATAGAATATCTATTTTAGTTAGTATATAGAAGAATTAACTTATTAATAGCTTAGCTATATTTATAAGCTATATACTTATTATTTTAAAGCTAGTATATATCATCTAATATTATATAATATCTACTCTTATATATAAATAGTATTATAGGAAGTTCTACTTCCTAATTAGTATAAAGTTAAAAGTGTAGTTCTATTCCTTAAGGTAATATCTATATACTTTCTTTAGAGGTGAGAATACTACTATATTAAGTAGCTATATAAAATAAGATAAGTATATTAGTAAGTAAGCTAAGTAAATATTATTAATAAAGTATTTCTATATAAAATTATTAGATATATAGCTTCTATAACTATCTATAATAAGTAGATATTTAGAATAGCACCTCTTAGCCTCTTCTATAGTTAATAAGATAAATACCTTCTCTAGTTACTTAATACTTATAGAATTTAATATCTAACTATTCTAAGATAATATAAAGTACTATCTATTAAATTTATTAAGTTTATTAGGGAACTATTACTACTAGATAGTCTTCCTTTTAAAGATAATAAATAACTTAAGATACTTACTATCTATAAAGATATACTTAACTATAGAGGTTTAAGTATACTTATTAAAACTCTAGATAAAGATTAAAAGCTTCTTAGAATAGCTTAGTACTAAATTATCTTTCTAAACCCCCTCTATAATATCTATCTTATCTATATTTTATTAGAGGTTTATTAAGATATCCTTTATAGCTAAGAAGGCTAAGATCTTAAAGAACTTCTTTATATTATTAATACTAATATCCTTATACTAAGTATTAATCTTTTATACTTTTAGAGTTTTAATAATAAGGTTATAGGCTAGAAAACCTTCTATCTACTTCTTCTTAAGGGGCTAGAGATTACCTCTAGCATAGAGGATATATTTAGCGAAGATTTAAATATATTAGTAACTAGGGGTAAAGCTAAGAGAGCCCTATATAAGTACCTATACTATTAGAGATACCTCCTATAGCATTATAAGGCGTTACTAGGCTTCTTTTACCTCCCACCTCAACGTAGCGCTATTTAAATAGCAGTAGATAGTTATATATAGTATACTCTACTAATATAATATATATATAAAGGTCTAACTACCCTACACTACTATAACTATAGTAGTAAGGTTTTTAGGGGTATATAAGGGTATAAAAAGTATTATAGTATTTTTAAAAGAATTTATTTCGGTCGTGGTAGTGGAAAAAAAGAGGGTTAGCTAGGATGAGGCGTGTTATATAGCATATAAAAGTCGCGTTTTGACGCGCATTTCGTTGTGGGGGGATTTCGTTACTTGGGGGTGGGTCTTAATACGGGCATTCGGTTGTCCTGGTCAAAAATGACTTTAGAAGCAACTTTTAAAGAAGATCGGGGTCTTGTCTACCGTCACTTCAATATATCGACCCTGATTGCTCCCTCCATGTCAGGCACCTGGTCTAATTGGGATCGAAGGGTCACTCATTGGTAGCTCGTTAGGGCTGGGGAGAGTCTTTCCCTAAGCGTTGGAGACGGACGGCGGCAGATTGCATTCCATAGCATTAGGTCTGAATCAACGCCCAGAGATGTAGTCGTATAGGTTAATACAAAAGGGGATGGCCCGCGTCACACAGGCATCGGCACAAACGATCATGTGAGTTGTAGAAGCGGGTATTTAAGTAGACAGACATCCTTGGTTCAAAAACTTCTGTTTGGCTCAGAGTATTACCACCCAAGAATGGCCTGGTTCAAGCCACGAAATGCAGATCAGCTGTCAAATGATGATCACGCCATATTTCCGATGCATCAAATGTTCTGATGATACTGTCATTTGTCCTTCTCTTTCGCAATCATCCGAATGCCATCGTGCCTGGAATTCACGATTCAGCGACTTGCTGGTTTTCTCTCGGCTTTCAGCCATCACTACTGGCTATTTTCATGTCCTTGATAGAAAACTGTTAGTTTCTTATATTTCATGTCAAGCATTTGGTAATTGTTCGGTCTGTGTTGCTGGTCACTACCCTTACTCATTGACCATCCGCCAATGCCCATGGGTTTTCGAGCAGACCTAATCTCGCGTCCTTTGCCAGCAACTGCTCTTTTCGATGGAAATGCTTGTCAAATGAAGTTGCAAGCAGGGTAGCAGGGGGAAGTTGTGACTAATCCATGCAGTGAAGCTATCGACGACTTGAGCCCGCCCACTTGCTCAAAACCCCCCACAACATCCCATCCATCCGCCTCAACTCCGGACTAAACCGCAACGAATCCTCTTTGTCCGGTTACCAACCTCGAGCTCAAAAGGACCCCTGGCGCAAGCCATGTGACTTCGCGCCAGTCTCGCTCCCAAGCGGTGTGGTCCCCCACCCCCCCAAATGTGAACCTGCCCCCGTCTCACCCTCTAGCTTGCCCCGCACCGCGCCGGTCGTGACTCACGGGCTATGTAACCACTAACCAGGGCCCGTAATCAGCCGCAGACACGCAGTAGCGCATCCCGAACGCGAGATATCACTGTTTTTCTTTCCATCCTTGAGTGAGAAATTAAAAGTTGATATGCCAGGGGCTAAGGTTGTCGTCGGCACTGGCGCGTCACTTGGGAAAACGGTCGATCGAGTGTGTGTCATGTGGTTTGGGGGAAGGAGTCATTGGCTTAAAAAGGGCGGGATGATCCCGCGCCCGCAGTAACGTCCTTCCCTTTGTCTTGCTGACTTCTCAACTTTCATCGTCCTGAGGAAATCGGGAACTTTGGTTTGACACGTGAGAAAACTTCACAAAATTTCCATCTCACAATCCTCCCACCACTATTCCTCTTTCCCTAATTGGAGGAGGAGAGAAAGCACGTCAATTGCGGCGCGGTCCGGGGTATCGAAGCTCGGAGCTTATCTCGATAACACACCACACACACACCCACTCTCGCTCATCAACCCCGCGAAGTCACACGCGCGGAGCCAACGACCGGAAGCCAACGAGACCCCACGAAGCTTCTTTTTTTCTGACGTCATATTTCAACGGTTCTCTCCCTACCAAGCGGAATAAGATGGACGCGCGATGCCAATGCGGCGCGGTCACGTTCAAGACGCCGCTGCCTCAGCCGCTGCGGCTGTACATTTGCCATTGCGATGAGTGCAAGCGCCAGACGGGCTCCGCTTTCGGGACGTCGGCGATCTTCCCCAGGTTCCAGCTCCCCGCCATGGATTTGCTGGGTGTCTACGCGTGAGTTTTCAAAACCCTTGGGTGGTGGTGGTGGTGAAAAGTGAACAGTAGAGGATGTAGGGGAGTGGACTAGGGGTGAGGTGAGAGAATGAAAGATGAATAAGCTGGCTGTGAAGAAAGCAGGATGGCATGCTGACTTTAGAGACAGGAGGCCGACTGCCTCAGGCGTGACACTTCACTGGTGAGTCTGATAGCAAGCCGCCATGCTCGTTCTCATGTAATAATGTGACTCATCAGCTACTTTTGCCGCAACTGTGGGACGAGGTTGATTCACAGCACACCGGTATGTCCCTTCGGTTTTGCT